CACGAATCAATAGCTGATAGAGATTGACACGAGGTGAAAGAATGCATTTTGACCGTGACGAGCTTCGGCTCGGCCATCACCCGTCAAAGCCAAAAGAAAAATCTGCAAGTGTGCAATCTCAATAAAACAAAATGAGCTAAGCAGCCCAAAACACATACCAAGTAATAACTCTACAAAGATGTCTCTATGTCATCTATAGTAATATTCTCATCTCTCCCACAAAATGCCGAACGACATTAACACAATCTAAGCTGGATCAAATTCGAGCAATACTCGAATTTTGCTGGTGGTAACGATATTGTGAACATGTCGGCAGAGAATTCCCTTATGTCCATCCGAGGACAACATGTTCCCATTTAAGCTAAAAAGAAAACAGTTTCCAATTTGGCTTAGCTTTTCTATGACAATCAATAAAGCTCAAAGTCAAACAATTCCGAATGTAAGTGTTTATCTACCGGAATCAGTATTCTCATACGGGCAACTTTACGTGGTGTTGCCCAGAGGGGTATCACGGGGCAACACGAAGGTGTTAATGAAGTTTGTGAAAAAATTGTGTCGGAGTCTACACCTCAAACGTCGTCTATCAAGAAGTTTTACATGATGAATAAGGTATAATCAACAATTATATTATTACACATTTGGTACCATATGTTTCTATTAAAATCATTGCGCTGCTTTTTGCAGGAAATGTTTACGGATGAGTGCATCATGAAAACTAAAAAATAGTTTAGATATACGGATGAACATTATTTACAAATGATTGTATTTCTTTGTACAGTCAAGAATTTCAAGTTTTGTAATGAGTTTTGAGTATATGGGTTTAGAAACCCAATACGTGTGCAATTATTTTTCCATTCGATCTTGCTAATACACCATATTGACCTTTAACTTTATATATTAGTTGACTTGCAAAATAACCATACAAACTCATGATTCAAGGCTAAATTAATGTTTCAGAATTGTAATTCACCCGCGCGCATCGTGCGTGTACACCACTAGTACATTATAAAGCATTTAAAGTGAACTCTTATTACAACTCTTAAAGCATGAGGTACAAGTTTTTTAATCATAAATTTTTAAAATCTATGACTTACAAGTGTGGAAGCAAGATGTGCAATCTATCAATGCAAATTCTTATGACATTCCTCTTTTATGTGGGAGGCTTTTTATCTTTGTCTTCTCCGAGAGCGTGTTGCTATCCATCTCAAGAAACCTTCTGGCATTCCTGAGAAGACTTTTCCTACTTCTCAAAATTTCATCTACATGTTGAAAATTCAAGGATTTTCCTGCCCAACCATTCTCCGATTGCAGATTCCTTACCTTGCTTCTTACTCTCTAACCTTTTGTTGTATTCATCTTCAACCCTAGATGGTATTTCATTCATTTTTAGTCTAGAAACGGTATTAATGATGTATTCGTCGCCAACACTACCACAAGATCTTTTTATGTTCCTAGCGATCAATCCTCTCCGTGAAACACCATCGATCTTGTCCATGTAACATGTCTCTGTGAATCTAGTTCTCCGTGGTTCTCCTTCGCCCAGGTTGGATTGATCTCTCCTTGTTTTAGGGGGTGTTTGGGATTGCTTATTTAAAACAACTTATGCTTTTTTGTAAAAGTGCTTATTGTGGTATTGAACTAGAGTTTTGTAAAAAGTGTTTGGATTAGCTTATAGCGATACCAAAAAGCAATAAGCTAATAAGTTGTTTTTTAGTGTTTGACAAATTTTGCTTATATATGTAAAATGACCAAGAAGGACATTTTTCCATATTATTGACTTATGGGAGTGTTTGGGATTGCATATTAAGTTATTTGATTTTTTAACATGTAAAAATTTATTTTTCATCATTTATAATAATATCTTTGACAAAAATTTATAGCAATAAGATTAATAATTTACAACCAAAAAACTAACTTAATTAACAAACATTTATACCAATACCATTAATAATTTATAACAAAAATAATAGATCTGTACAAGAAAAAAATATTAGATCGTCATTTATAATGTAATATTTTTCTAACCAAAATATCAATAACAAAAATAGATCGTCATTTATAATAAATATTCATCTGGATCTACCTATTACATCTCCTACAATCATATCTCTTACCACACTCATATATAGATCGTCCCTCCTATGACGTAAACTTGTGTTTTCATGTGCTTCATTATTGCTACCACATCCTTCATCTTCAACATCAATATGAGGGTTATATGATTCATGTTGCGCCATGTCAAATCCTTCGTCAAAACTACCATTCATTCTAATATAATTGTGAATTGCCATCGACGCTAGCACAATATTTACTTGTGTCTCATAGGTGTCATTGACATGCATATTTTTAGTATTTGCCAACTAGTTTTCCATACTCCAAAAGTTTGTTCAACAACATTTCTCAGTGATGAGTGATAATAGTTAAATGTCTCTTTTGTTCCTTTGGGACCACGACGGAAATCTGGTATATGATAACGAATATTTGTTTCTTTGTATGGAACAAGATAACCTTTAGTATTTGGATATCCGGCATCGACAACATAACACTTATTTGTTATAAAAAATAAACAAACTACTGTTATTCTTTTCAAACGGTATGAAAACAAAAAAGTTTGCATTACTACAAAAAAAAATACTAACCACCGGTTGGATGTGGAAATTTAAGTTCAGTTCTGCGTAAGGCTTCAAAAAAACATTTGTGTGTCATGTGCAGTTCCCTCTCATCCAGCCCATGCAAACATAAAACACATATTAAAACACAAACTGCCATGATATTTTGCGTCGCATATGCTTTTCTACCAATGTATTTTCTTGCTCATGCTCTCGAACTGATGCCCTTGTGTGTGTCCCATCTATAGCGCCAATACAATCCTACACATATAAAGTAAAATAATTTATTAATCTATTAAAATGCTACGATCAAATATAAAGAAAGATATAGGAAGTACCTTGAACATCGGATAATAACGAGAGTTATTTAAAACATGTATGGGTACATTCTCATTGTAATTTGCATTTGGCTTTATGATGTCCACACTTAACTTAAGCACGGTGATACGTACTAAGTTTTTAGTACGTAAAGTACCTTTTTATTCTCTTTAGATAGGTWATTTTCCATTTATATCCCAACTTTGAGTCATTTTATCTCTTTTCTCTATTTTTATGCTGAAGTAAATGATGAACCTGTTTCTAGTGGATTTTGGTCTAAATTAAGCTCATTTTGGACAGATTGGAGCAGGTCGATGCTGTGGGAATGTGGTAGCATGACCTGATGGCAGATGAAGAGATGGATGAGACTTGAAGTTGACTGACATGACTTGCGAAGACATTTGAGAGCTTTCTAAAGTGAACCAGCTGTAGTTTAATCAGATTAGCTGGAGTTTTAAACCAAAATAT